GGGGTTTAGGGTTTGGGGTTCTAGGTGTAAGGAACCCTAGACCCTAGAACCTAGAGTTTTAGTTTTCCTACGCGGCTTTGGGGCTCTAGGTAGAAGGAGTTTAGGGTTTTTTGGCTGGTTTCTGGGTCTAGTCTTGAAGGCTTGCGGGCCTTTAGGCTATAGGGTTTAGATTACGTATTGTTTGGGGCTTCAAACTTTCTGGCTAGGGTTTGAGTCATTGAGGTCAGGATCCAAGGAACACCACGTGGCACACCGAGGCTTCCTGTTCTAGCCCCAGTCTGACAGCCCCCTCTACACCAATGAGAGAGGAGACTTCATAAATCGATCTCAAAAGCAGCTGCACCATCGGAATTTAGCATAAGACACCTCCTAAACCCTGAACCTTAAACCCCTAAACCCCTAACCCCGAAAACCTGTTCCGGGGATTGGGATAAAATTGTCAGCAAAGCTAGGGCCCCAAAAAAAACACATAAGCACAAATTAGGATAGGGATATCCCAGATAAACTCCCTTATACTTGAAGCCCAACAAGGTAGGGATATCCCTATAAAATGCTGATGCTCATGTCCCAAACCCTAAACCCAAAACCCTAAACCCTAAACTCTAAACCTTAAACCCTAAACCCTAAACGCCTTTTTGGTGTCCCTAAAAAGCTCCTTTCGACGGGCTCTCGAGGATCGACCGCGGGTCCCTCGGTGATCTCCTGGAAGAGCTTCTGGCCGACTAAGGGGGGTTGTGGGTTTAGGGTTAAGGGTTAAGGGTTTAGGGTTTAGGGTTTAGGTTTAGGGTTTAGGGTTTAGGGTTTAGGGTTTAGGGCTTAGGGATTGGGGTTTAGGGTTTAGGGTTTAAGGTCATAGATGCATAGGGCCTTAGGGGTTATAATCGGGGTTTAGGGCTTCGGGGTTGCGGTTTCGGCTTGCAGAGCTTCGGGGTTGTAGGGCTTAGGGCATGGAGAGTGTAGGGGCTCGTGGGGTTCGCCGATGCAGGGCGTCAGGAGCAATCCTAAACCTACAGCCCGGGCTATTCTCGTCCTACCCCGTTCAGGGTTTAGGGTTTAGGGTTTAGGGTGTAGGGTTTGGGGTTTAGTTAGGGTTTGTAGCGACCTCGCCTCTTGCAAGTAACCTGTCCAATCGAAGCACCTCTAAAGCCTACATCCTACCACCCTGCATCCTTCAAAGCCGAGAACTCTGAAGCCCTAAACCCTAAACCCCAAACCCTAAACCCTGCATCCTTCAACGCCGAGAACTCTGAAGCCCTAAACCCTAAACCCTAAACCCCAAACCCTAAACCCCGCATCCTTCAAAGCCGGGAACTCTGAAGCCCTGAAACCGAGGAGCTGAAATCTCTTCTTCTAAGGTTAGGGTACATATAGGGTATATAGTAGGTGTATACGGATCCCAGGGCTAAGGGCCCATACTAGGGGCCCATGGGTTCAACCTTAGACTTCTACTTCTGTCGGCACCCTCATTCCTAGCACGACTCGGCCTCGAAGGCTCTCAGCCTCTACCCATGTGCGGTTTAGGGGTTTAGGGTTTAGGGGCCCATGCATCTACCTACCGATATTGCGCGGATTGGATTCATGCATCTCAATGGGTGGCTCAGGTTTAGGGTTTAGAGTTTAGGGTTGAGGGTGGAAGGATATTTTTAGGATAGACGGATGGTGGTTGAGGATGTGTCGAGGCATGTTTAAAGCACCTGCAAACGTAGTGGATTTCTGCACAAGTACAAACCGTGGGAACGTGTTATATGTACATGCAGTGGCACGGGTATGCAGCACTTACGTGGAAAAAAAATACCTGCGTGGACCCGGCAGAAACAAAACCAATGAAGCCTTTACAAACCCCTACATCCTCAAACTTGAAACCTAAAAAACTATGAACTCAAATTCTCCCAAGCCCCCACACCCCATTAAACCTTAAACCCTAAACCCCTGCACCCTAAGCCCCAAACCCGATGATCAGGGGCCTCGACTTCAGGCGCTTCCTCCGCCAGCCGACCGGGCTCCTCGATGCGGGCCCTCTTCCTGCGGAGCTGAAGGTTTTTCAGGGGTTCCAAGACCAGGGCACGTTTAGGGTTTAGGGGTTTAG